TCCAGCTGGAGGATCTGGAAGTCACTGTAGCAGATCACATCCAAAAGGTCATGAAAGTGAACTTTGAAGCTGCCTGGGATGAGGTAGGGGATGAGTTTGAGAAGGAGGAAACGTTCACCTTGTCTACCATCAGGACACTCGAAGGTAAAATCCATGGCATGCTATCTGTGGCTGCTTGCCTTTCCGGACCCTTGGCTACTGCTGAAGTGCTTCTCCCCTTTTCTCTCCCAGGGCCCAGGGCATGTGTAGAGTGCATATGTCAAATGACATTTCATTGAAAGCCCTTCAGAGCTTGAGGGAGTGGTAGTGGCTCAAAGGAGAGACAAGGCCTACGGCTTAACGCTCTTGGGATTTCTCCCTACAGAGGCTGTGGGTAATATTGTGAAGTTCTTGGGAATGCATCCTTGTGAGAGATCAGACAAAGTGCCAGATAACAAGAATACCCACACGTTGCTCCTGGCTGGTAAGTGTTATTTCCAGGTGGGGAGGGCCTGGGTAGCTTACAGCCTGGATGCCACTGGATCCTGGGCTGGACACTCCACTGGGAACATGGGGAATCACAATTCACGAAGTATAAAAAGATCTGAAATGAGTACCTTCCTCTCTACCCTTGCTGCCAGCTACCCAGACTTCCTTCCAACAAGCAACCACTACTACTATTACAAAGAATACCTACATATTCTTCCAGTTATTATGGCTACTAAAGCTAATAGAAATACATTTCCCTTTTGAAACTCAAATGATTTATACAAATGGTATATATATTGTTCTACAATTTGCTTTTCACTTTACAGTGCATCTTAGAGATCTTTCCTGTCAACATATAGTGCTTCCTCTTTCTCTTTTGTGGTGAAATATAGGTCACATAAAATTTACTTTTTTTTTTTTTTTTGAGTTGGAGTCTCACTCTGTCGCCCAGACTGGAGTGCAGTGGCCGCTCCCGGCCACCGCAGCCTCGACCTGCTGGGCTCCGGCGATCCTTCCGCCTCAGCCTTCCAAGTAGCCGGAATTACAGGCATGTGCTACCACGCCCGGCTGATTTTTTGATTTATTGTAGAGCTGAGGTCTCGCTGCCCAGGTGGGTCTCGAACCCGCGGGCTCAAGCAATCCACTCACTCAGCCTCCCAAAGGTGCGGGACTACAGGCTGAGCCACCGAGCCCGGCAAAATGTACCATTTTAACCCCCTCTTTTTTTTTTATTTTTTATTTTTTTAAGTTGAGGTCTTACTCTGTTGCCCAGGCTAGAGAGCAGTGGTACAATCTTGGCTCACTGCAGCCTTGACCTCCTAGGCTCAGGTGATCCTTCTGCCTCAGCCTTCTAGGTAGCTGGGACTACATGCATGTGCTGCCATATTCGGCTAATTTTCTTATTTTTGTAGAGGTGAGGTCTCGTTATGTTGTCTAGGCTGGTCTTGAACTCCTGAGCTCAAGCAGTCCTCCTGCCTTGGCCTCCCAAAGTGCTGGGATTACAGGCATGGGCAGCCACACCCACCCGGAAATTTACAAACATACACAAAAATTGAATGTTACCAGGAACCCCACATGCTCATCTTCCAGCTTCAGCAGCTAACAGCACTATACTCACAGTTATTCTCTCCCACAGATTGTTTATACCAGATTTCAGATATAGCATTTTATTTGTAAATGCTTTTGTATTTGTATGTTTCTCTAAGCGATTATGACTCCTTTAAAAGAAAAAAAGGAGCTGGACATGGTGGCTCACGCCTGTAATCCCAGCACTTTGGGAAGCGGAGGCGAGAGGATTGCCTGAGCTCAGGGGTTTGAGACCAACCTGGGCAACTTGGCAAGACCTCGTCTCTACAGTAAATCAAAAAATTAACCGGGCATGGTGGCACACGCCTATAGTTCCAGTTACTTGGAAGACTGAGGCTGTGGTGGCAGTGAGTATGCCACTGCACTCCAGCCTGGGCAACAGAGTGAGACTCTGACTCAAAAAATAAAAAAATTAAATTAAAAAAAATAAGTAAATAATACAGTTATCAAGACAATTAACAAAAAGAAAGGGGATTTTACATTTCTTTTTATTTTTGGCTGAGTGTTTATAAACAGAATTGAGAGGATGCTCTGCTTCAGTGCCCTGCTCACAGCTGACAGTTTCTGGCCATGTGAAAGCAATCCTGCCTCCTGGGTCTTGCAGACACCTGCTCTGTGGTTTTTCTCATGATGGGGCTGTCCCCTTCATCTACGCCCTCAGATTCAACCAACACGTGTGAGAGTCTCTGTTAGTTCGTTTGAACTTGGCAGAAGCCAGAAATAGAGTTAATATTATCATCCCCTCCACTTTATAATTGAGGATGCTGAAGCCCAGAGAGGAAAAGCGACTTACGTAGGCCCCACTCGGGATTTTCGCCCTCTTCTGCCTGCTTCACTACACTCAAGCTGCCTGAATTGGTTGCTGCAGATGCCACCCTCAGTGCATCCTCTACAGTCCCTTCTGCCTTCTAGGTGTGTTCCGGGGTGGTCATGACATCCTGGTGCGGTCCCGGCTGCTGCTTTTGGACACCGTGACCATGCAAGTGACAGCCAGAAGTTCGGAGGAGCTGCCAGTAGACATCATCTTGGCATCTGTGGGCTAAGGGGCCAGCCTGCATAGGCCCTGCTCCTACCCTTCGCCCCCAAACACTACGCAGACGTCACGCCTTCCTCATGAAACTCGTGGAAACCTCTTCCCAAGCTTCTGTATTCAAAAACAATTAGGAATCATTGCAGATATTTTTTTTTATTCTACTCCTGGATCCAGGACTATTAGGGGGTGACTTTTTTTTTTAATAGAGGATGATTTTAGCTTATCCTAAATCTTGCTGTCCTGCCTGCTAAAAAAGGGACATTGAAAATAAAGCATTCACACCTCTTCTTGAATTTATCCCCAAAGAAGCCATCTTATCTCTATAATAAATCAGCATGTATTTATTGAATAACTGCTACTTTAGACTCATTTTTTGAGTCTCTATTTTCCCCTTCAGGACCTCCCACCAAGTAGAACACTTGCCTTATCTCCCTTGCACACATAGCACTTTGGCTCTTGGGCTCACCGTGAGACAGGACCCTCTTCCCCATGGCTGTCCAAGCACCAAACCCAGAGATGGAACAGTGCAGACTTGTTGAGTGAATGACATCAGCTAACAGGCATTGAATTTCCATGCTTTCTCACAATCACCCTCCTTTCATAGATGGTTAATGGAGGCTCCAAAGGGTTTGGATCATTTACATGGGTGTTACGTAGCATCAGATCTAGCATGGGGTGTGTCCTGGGGTTTCTGTTCCCTGTTCAGTCCAGTTCAGTGAGAACAGAGCGTTCTCTTTTGGACACAGATGAAGAAATACCTGGTTTATGTCCCAAGATATTTCTTTTAAACTCAGGCTAAATATTTTCCCAACTTTGTGACCAAAATACAAAAAAACCCATTCGTATTCCCCAAAGGTATTGACATTTAAAAATAAAAATACTTGTAAAGCCTGCTTTTAAAAATGCAAGCCTCACCCTTAGAGATTCAGATCTGAGAAAATGGGCATCTGGTAAGGCCCTTCTGGGGGCCACAATCCTTTGAGTGATTTGCATGATTCCAGGAAGCTTTTCTGACTTACATTTATTTTCCATTGTTCCCATGTTTGCCCCACATTGCGAGGCAGTTAGGAGAACTGTGGAGCAAAGACGACGGAGTTTATTGATTTTACTCCCTACAATGACCTGGTGCCCTAGTTGGCGCCGCGGAGACCCTTCCCGCCCCACCACCGCAGCCCGCGGACCGGGGAGGGTGGTTAATCCCTCCAGAGAAGGGACCAGTGTAGAGGAAAGTAGCTCCGAGAAGCTTGGGGTCGTCCCTCACGGCGGTCATTATCTCCCGGGGAACTCTGGGAAGAGTCCTAACGCGTAGGGGGAGGAGACGCCGCCGGGGCACCCCGGGATGCCGCGGGCGCGGCCCGCTACCGGGGGC